AAATGAAGAATAAAAATCATATGATCATATGAACAAATGAAGAAAAAGCATTTGACAAAATTTAACATCATTTTGATAAAAACTCTCAGCAAAGTGGGGATAGAGGGTACATACCTCAACATAATAAAGGGCGTATATAAAATACCCACATCTAACATCATACTCTATGGTTAAAAGATGAAAGCTTTTATTAGTTTAAGTTCAAGAACAAGATAACAATGTCCACTTTCACCACTTTTATACAACATAGCATTAGAAGTCCTAGCCATTGCAATCAGACAAGAAGAAGAAATAAAATGTATCCAAGTTGGAAAGGAAGAAATAAAAATGTCATTAATTGCAGATGACATGATATTATATAGATAGAGCCCTAAACATTCCACTAAAAAACTATTAGGACTTATAAATGAATTCAGTAAAGCAGCAAATTAATATTCAGAAATGGGTTGCACATTCATACACCAATAGTGACTTATGAGAAAGAGTAATTAACAAAACAATCACATTTACAATTGCATAAAAAAAACCAACCTAAGGATAAATTTAAATAAGCAGTTAAAAGACCTGTACTTGGAAATTTATAAGACATTGAAGAAAGAAATTGAAAAAGATAGAAATAAATAGAAACATATAGCTTGCTCATGGACAGGGAGAATTAACATCATTAAAATGTCTATATTACCCAAAACAATCTGTAGATTCAATGCAATCCTTATCAAAATACCAATGGCATCTTTAACAGAAGTAGAATAAATAACCCTAAAATGTATATGGAACCACAAAAGACCCCAAATACCCACAGCAATTTGAGATAAAAGAACAAAGTTAGAAGTATCATATTACCTGATTTGAAATTATACATCAAGGTTTAGTAATTAAAACAGCATGGTACTGACATAAAAACAGACACAAAGTCAATGGAACAGAATAGAGAGCCCAGAAATAAATCCACACCTATATGATCAACTAATCTATCACAAAGGACTCAAGAATATTCAATGGGATAAAGACATCTCTTCAATAAATGATGTTGGGAAAACTGGACAAATATATGCAAAAAATAAAGCTAGCCATTTTCTTATACCATATACAAGAATAAACTCATAATGGATTAAAGACAAATGTAAGACCTGAAACCATAAAACTCCTAGAAAAAAACATAAGCAGTAAAATTTTTGACATCATTGTTAGTAATACTTTTTTGGATATGTCTCCTTGGGCAAGGAAAACAAAAGAAAACATAAGGAAATGAGACTACATTCCACTAAAATGTTTTTGCACAGTAATGAAACCATCAACAAAATGAAAAGAAAACCAACAAAATGGAAGAAGATATTTGCTAATGATACATCTGGTACAGTGTCAATATTCAAAATATGTAAGGAACTCATACAACTTAACACACACACACACACACACACACACACACACACACACACACACACACCAGAGAGAGAGAGAGAGAGAGAGAGAGAGAGAGAGAGAGAGAGAGAGAGAACCCAGTTTAAAAATCTTCATAGACATTTCTAGCAAGAGGACAGATGGCCAACAGATATATAAAAAGATGCTCAACCTCACTAATCATGAGAGAAATGAAAATAAAAACCACAATAAGGTAGCACCTCAAATCTGTCAGAACAGCTATCATCAATAAATCAACAGACAACAAGTGTTGTCAAGGGTTTGGAGAGAAGGGAACCCTCAGGCACTATAATTAGGATGTTAAATTGGTGCAACCACTATGGAAAACAGTATGGAAGTTCCTTAAAAAATTAAAACTAGAACTACTAAAACTAGTTCTACCAAAAAAACAGCTACCCATCGCTTCTTGGCCTTTTGGCTGAGATCAAGTGTAAAAATACAGCTACCCAGCAATTCCACTGTTGGGTACTTAATTAAAGAAATCCAAAACACTAATTCCAAAAGATATATGCACTCCTAAGTTTTTACAGCATTATTTACAATTGACTAGAATGGAAGCAACCTAAGTGTCTATCGATAGACAATTGGTAAAGAATATACAAAATGAAATCTTGCCATTTTCGACAATATGGGCAGACTTAGAGGATACTATGCCAAATGAAGCAACCTAAGTGTCTATCGATAGACAATTGGTAAAGAATATACAAAATGAAATCTTGCCATTTTCGACAATATGGGCAGACTTAGAGGATATTATGCTAAATAAAATTAGTCAGAGAAAGACAAATATCATATGATTTCACTTATATGTGGAATCTAAAAAACAAAATAAATGTAAAAACAAAAGAGAAACAAACTCATAGACATAGAGAACAAATTGATGTTTGCCAGATAGGAGGGGTTTGGGGAGATGGGTGAAAAAGGTGAAGGGATAAAGTAGTACAAATTGCCAGTTATAGAAGTAGTCATGGGGATATAAAGTACAGCATAGGGAATATCATCAATAATATTACAATAACTTTGTGTGGTGTCAGATGGATACTAGGCTTACTGGGGTGATGACTTTGTAAGTTATATAAATGTCTGATCACTCTGTTGTACACCTGAAACTCATCTAATACTGTATGTCAACTGTAACTGAAAAAATTTAAAAAAATAAAAGAAGCAGTCTCATGGCATCAGGATCGATGGAGAGTTGGAACGATCAGATATCATGAGGAAAGTCCCTTATTTGCTTCTGCTCAGTATCAACATCTGTGAAATGATGGGGCTGGTACACATGAACTCCATAGTGCCTTTTTTGTCCAATTGAGTCAACACAATTGGCATATAACATTATAGTTTCACGTATCCAACATAATGAATCAATATTTGTATACACTGTGAAATGATCACCACAATAAGTTGAGTCAACAGCTCTCATCTTATGTAGTTACAATTATTTTTCTCTTTTGATGAGAAGTTGTAAGATTTACTCTCTTAGCAACTTTCAAATATGCAATCCAGTATTATGCATGGCTCCTTTATCAGTAATAAGATTAACAGTGATCCATTTATCAATTATGAGCAATGGAAAGTTCAATATGACTGGAAGTAGACTGTCCTCTGAAAACTTGGGTTGTTATGAAACTAAACATATATCTATGTATCTATATATCTCTATATATCTATATATCTCTATATTCTATATATCTCTATATATCTATAGCTATATCTATCTATCTATCTACCTATCTATCTATCTGGCAAATCAATTGCCCTTTCATGAGTTAAGCTGGCCTCTGAATAGAGTTTTAAACCTGTCATGAATTCTTTTAATGAAGGTTTGTGCAAAAATATAAGGACAAAATTTATTTGTTGTACTTCTACATTTCGACGCACTTGGTTTTCTTCTACATGAACTGAGAGATTTTTGTAACCTGTAGGATAGTCAAAAATAGGCTCAAAGACAAGCTTTCAGTGAAGATGCCTATGATAAGTAGAATTATGATGTCTTCTAAGAGTTCTCTTCTCTGGTGTCCACTCTGTATATAATCCTTGGGCTTGCGGATCTGATGAATATTAATCCTATGATTAGATTATGTTATACAGCGCTGGTTGGCTTTAAGATGGAAATTACCTGGTGGACATTACATAACTACTTGAGCCCTTTAAACAGTTTTCTTCAGTTGTTGACAGAGAAGGTAGTCAGAGAGATTAGAAACAATACAAGGATGTGATGCACCATTGCTAGCTTAAAGATGGAGAGGAGTTTCCCAGAACCTCCATTTGATAATATAAACTCATTTGAACCTTGTTTTCTGCTGAGCAAGGTACGCATATCTTATGCTGGACTCTGACCTGAAGAAATGTGATCTAATAAATGTGTGTTGTCTTAAGCTGCTAAGCACATGGTCATTTGTTTTGCAATAATTGAAAATAAAGAACCATTCTTTTAGAAAAAGTAACAATATAGCCTATATAGAGCCTTGTCACTCACAAGAATCTAAACTCCTACAATGAGAAACACATGAACTATGGGATTAAAGGGGGGTAGTCTAGGCATCATTCTAAAAGGACAGGAATCAGGAAAGATATATGCTAAGATAAAGTACCAAAAGCTTTTTCTGGAACTCCCTCTTGTCATCCTTGAAGGAGTTCTCCATGAAGATTTCAATGGCTTCCCTCTCACAGGCTGCGTGCAGGTCCAGCAGCTCCTGGAGCGTGTCTGTGGGGAGCCTCACTCGCTGGTCCATCTGCTCACTGTAGTGGTCAGCTGCCTTCTGCACGGCCGCTGAGTTCTCAAGCTGGGCCAGAGTTGTCACTGCGTTCTCCAAACAAGGTACTGCTCCACTATTGATGGCTTTCACATAGGTCACCACCAGAGTCCCCAGCCCTGAATGACACACGGTATTTAGGAAATGGACAGGAGGTTCTCATTCATTGTTTTAGAGATTTAGAGATTAGCATTCTAAAAATCATCATAATTTTATTGCAGTGAAGTTTTGCTTTTTCTCTTACTTTTTTTCCTCCTAATCTTCTTCTTGGGCCTCACCTGTCTCCTTCTCCTTGCTCTTCCATGAATCCACTTCCTTATAATAACATCCTATTCTCTGTCTCTTTTATGGTTCATGAATTCATCCATTACAATATTAAATTAATAATCTCAACCAATATGTGAAGGAATTCCTAGAACACTTTTCACATTGATATAAATCATAAAAGTTTGTTTTACACATAATTAGAGTATATGAATTGTGGGCACTGTTCCAAATGAAAACGCAGGAGTCCTTGTAAAAAAATAAATCAAGAATTTTGGGACAGTGACATAAATAGTAAACCAAGCAAGGATCCATCTCAGCACAGGGCACTTTGTGTCCCCCCAGGTCGCATGTCCATGAATCCAGCCTGGTACATAGGATTATATATAAATTTGTTTCTCAAACTCTAATGAGCTCTCAGATGCTATTTATTTTCTATCTGGTGTAAATTCACAAAATATTTTGTGTATCCTCACCAAGAAATGCTTATCCCACTGAACGTCTCATCCATATTCAGATTTGTATCTTTAACAGCAGCTCGTGCCTATGCATAAGTGTATTAGTTCATGAGATATAGTAAGTTCAATAATCCCTCATATAGGGAAACACATGAAGAAACATGCATGTCTATGTGTGGCATGAACATCTCCTTTTCCACATCACATAGAGAAGAAAACAATTACTGACAAACCCAGAGAGTAATTACAGCTTCATCACACACGCTGAACCACAGAGAGACATGCTATCACAAAGGAGACTCACTTTTTCCAGTGACAATGATTCCTTCTCTTAGGGTCTTGGTTTTTGCATTTTTGAAGATATATGAACAGAAATTTTTGGACTGTTCCTGGAAACTCTTTTCCAGTTGGTCCTCTGATGCTTCATCAATATGAAGTAATTGATTTTTGTTATGTGTAGGCTGGTCAAAGACAAAGCACTTCCGTTTGGGGAAGAATTTCCAGATACATACCCTGGCCATGTTGCAATTTTGGGTTTGGGGACTCTTGCCTTCAGGAGTGAAAAAAGAGAAATCATTGATAAAACAGTCTTCAAGCAAAGGAGCTGAAACCTTCACTTTCAGAGATGTTTGTGCAACTGTAACTCTGGTGTCCGTAAATCTTTTATTAATTATGCAAATCTAATTTACTTTTTATAATCTACCCAAGACTTAGAAAATCCTTTCTTCTTTCTTTCCTTCTTTCTTTTCCTCTTTCTTTCTTTCTTTCTTTCTTTCTTTCTTTCTTTCTTTCTTTCTTTCTTTCTTTCTTTCTTTCTTTCTTTCTTTCTTTCTCTCTCTNCTCTCTCTCTCTCTCTCTCTCTCTTTCTTTCTTTTTCTTATAGAGCCAACCGTGAAGGAAGTACTTCGGGGGAAGAAGGGGAGGCATCCATTACAAGTGATGAAATGCCTGACTGTTCCTTAGCCCTTGCATGGAATGCACCAGGTCAACTATTTATTAGATATTTGTTTAATGATAGATTAATCAAAAAAATTTTCAGAAATACATTTTTCAATACAGTCCCTATGTCAGAAATGAAATGTGGGCTCTAAAGCAAAGTAAGGCTAGGAATAAAAATATGTATAATATTTTGGAGAAAAACCCCATGTGTAAGATCAATGATATTCAGGACAGTAAAAAAAAAAAAAAGCTTTATAACACCAAAGCCCCCCTGTAAAATTAGAAAACTTATAAATATATTCAGAGATTCCTTTAGCAGACACCACCAAACAGTAAGGCTCACAGAAATGTAAATTGGAGACCTCACCAGTTTTCTGTAGCAGATTATATTAGATTTTACAATGTCATGCAAAGGGATTCTGGCATGTATCTGCTGTTCAATAAATATTTTGGAAAAAAATGAATAAATGACTAAATAAACAATATGGATATTGCTTCTAGGTACCACCATTATCCTCTCTCTTACATGCCATCCTAGTAATGAATTTATTACATTAAGATGACAACATATTATATGTATGAAGAAGTGTTGTTATGAGAAACAAAATGAAGGATTTGATAGTGTTACTACAGAGATATGCCAATGATTTTTTTTTTGGAATCATATAGTATATAAATATCCTTTATGTGAAGCATATAGCTCTATGCAGGTTAGTGAAATAGACAGCACAAAATATATTTCAAAATTAGGTTATTTGATATCTTTGTGATTCTGTGTTACTGTTTTCCAAACTGATGATATTTTTCTCTAAATAGAATTGAAGGAGCTCTGAACACAATAGGTAACACAAGTATTTGAGCCTGAGGAAGTTTAAAAATTAGCTGGTATCCTCAAACTTTTTTTAATGGTGTCAATTTCTCCAAAATCATTTGGCCCAATATTGGATTCTAAATTCCTTCAGTGAGGTTCAACTGTAGTCACTGGAGTTATTCCATTAATAATGACTAAAACCATATCCACCTGTCACATATCAATCACCACCAGCATGGGCCTCAATCCAATCTCAAATGAAGATTGATGTCAAGCACTGAGTGACAGGTCTCAGTTGATCAATCCCACCTCCTACTGAAACTTCCACCACCCAGGCTGTGCTCTGATACCTGGAATCAATTTCAAGGCATTCTCCAGGTACTCATCTTCAGTGATGGGGCGTCCGTCTAACTCCAGCTCCAGCATGAAATCCCGTACAGCCCAAACAAAGTCTGGAAAGAAACTCACAAATTCAGCTGAGTCATCTACTTCACCGGAGCTGGGAGAGGAGTTTGTCCTGATTAGGTTGGCTAGTTCAGTCACATAGCTGGGATCTCAGCTAAGGAATGAGAATACTCCACACCCAAATTTCCAGATCTTACCCAGAAACAAGATATATAAACATTCCTGTTAGCCCTGTGACCCATTCTTTTCAATGGTGAGAACTGAGTCATGGAAAAAAAGAAACCGTTACATTCCCATAGACTCAATGTCTGAGGGTGATTTAGTTCCTGAAAGGATACTGCAGCTGTTCCAAGGCCTGGTTGTTGATGGTCCCCATGCTGTTGTAGACTAGCATGCTGCTCAGAAGCACCGCCAGTGCAAAGATCCACGAGTCATTGTTAGAGTCACCCTAAAAAAAATGCATTACAGCAGTCATCTACGTTAGGCATTATTTAGGCATCTACTCTTCTCACTCATTCAGTTGTTCATTCACTATGTCAGCTGTACTGTAGCTGAATGGTAAGGCAAATAACATAAATTGTGAAGACAGCATTAAATTCAAACCTTATTTTAATATTAACATTGACACCTCTAAGTGCCTGAGTTTCTTTCCCTATTAACAGAGTGAACAACACTGTAAATATGTGCCAAATATTTAATACAGTGCCTAGAACATGGAAGTGTGTAATAAGTGTGCAATGATTCTTTTGCAAATTTTCATCATCTTGGGCTTATTGGGGACAGAAATGTTATTCAGTTAAATTCACCAACTACTCATTGTGCAGCTATGAAATGCCAGACTGCATTTGCTTGTGTGAATATAAAGTTCCATATGATAATCTTTTTTCTTCAAAGATGAGTTTCCTGAGGGACACATAAATATGGCAACATGTAAATGCATCCAAGGTGATAAACTCTGCCAGGAGTGGAACCAAATATTATAATGTAAAAGACAAAAGGGGAATGCAAAAAAACAGAAATGTACTCTGTGAATTAAGAACAAGAAGTGATTACATCTGAATGAGATAAAATTCCATCAAGTGGAACATAGCTGGGCTTTAACAGACTGATCAAATGTGGAATTGTGAAGATAAGGGGACCATGCAGGTGGAAAGGCCAACAGACCAATCAGAATTGTCAGAAAGTGTTGTCATACAAAGGTATTGCAGGTTATTGTATTTGACTGAAGTAGTGGTTATGTGTGTGGTGGGAATAGACGAAAGGGCTGAAAATGAGATTCAGGGCAAGTCATTGAATGACTTTGTAACGTTATTAGATACTACTCAAATACAATCTAAGTGGTAATGGCAGCACATAGTACTGCTGCTAATAGTTTACATTTGGTATGTTTGGGTTCCTTGAACAGTGCAGTTAGATATAAAGAAGAAGGTTTATACAAATTAAAATTTATTAGGAATCAGTAGACCACCTTGGGTTTGCATCAAGTGATTATGGAACACATTAAACCAAGAATTTTTAAATTCAGATTATCTAAATTCATGTCCCTACTCTTGGCAGTAATAGAAGTCAAAGACCCATTGTTGCTACTTTCACTTTAGACTCAGACTAGTATAAATAAGGAGTAAAGGTTGCAACTAACATTATAAAGACAAAATACCTAAAATTATCCCATTTACAATGCTTTTGGTGCATCTAGCTCATGTTTTATAGAAGTCAGTGAGGAACTCATCTTCAAAGTGCAGAGATGGACTAAAACCTTAATGAATGTTCTTGCAGTAGCTAAAGTTTTTATGCAGATTATTTAAGTAGATTATTTCACTGAAACCTTATTTTCATGGGTCTTACTTCCAATTCTATCAACCTCACACGCCTTAACTAGTAAAATTTACTGATCCCATGGTTATAGCTTTTCTAGGATGTTTTCCCTAACCTGAACGATTGTGTTAGGTTCTCACTTTCTGTATCCATACTGATAACACTGAGTATTTCTTATCGCCCCAACAGTGTCTGGGTCTTTACCTCATTCACTGGAATGTCTGTAGCACTTAACAAAAAGTGCTAGAATTTAGCTGCCCAATAAATATTAGTTAACTTGCATCTTTCATCCAAGTGTTAAAAATAACCAAAATATTGAGTTTACCAAGAAAGGAACAGAATTTAACCTCATTATTACTAACTGGATTTGTAGTTCACAGAAAAGTAGCATGAAAGTTGAATTGAGGTTGCAAATTAAAATGTAAGTGGAGTATCAAGAGCAAAGAAAATTCCCTTCCTTACCTTTTCCACATCGCCCAAGCCCTCGGTGTCCAGAAGGACCAGGATGTGATTCGGCTTGGAGGGGTGGGGCATACACCACATCCAGATGCCCTTTGTTTTAGACTGCACCGTGGAGCCCAGAGGGAAACCTACAAAGGAAGAGGAGAAAGCAATATACCATAACAGCAGATAGTGCAGACTGCTCTTGGGTTACATTGGTTAAACTTGTTGAAATGTGAGTGCCTGGCTGGGAGGAAGGTTGCTTCCATTTCGACAAGGACAGTCAATCCAAACTTTATACATATTATCGACTTTCTCAAGAAATACTTTGTGTCCTCTTTTCATCTCATACCATCAATGACCCAAGCTATGTCACATGACAGAGTTAATATAAACTCTATTAACCTTTGTGTTTTTATCCAACCCTGAAGAGCTCCCTTGTCCTCCAGGTTCTGATGGAGTTCAACCAAAGCAAGGCACCAGCAGAAGAATGAAAATCAGGCATGTGTTCCTGTAGCTTCCCTTCTGGTGAGCCACACAATCCCAGTATTTCTGTTCCTCCACCTTGTGTCAGTTCCTTTCATGTAGCTCCCTCCAATGTCTCTGGTCTTTGCCACATGATGGTATCCACTCCTTGCTAGCCTCTTCAGGCTATAGGAGTTATAATGGCTACCTAGCCATTGCTATTGCCACTCTCTAGGTGCTTGCCCATCTCTCACTGGTTTCCGTTGCCCTGCATATGTCTTTGTAAATAGTCCCTCCATTAGAAACTCTTTAGTTACCTCTTGAGCGGGACACATGTGTGCTGCCGGGACCTGGACTGCCCAAGAGCTTTTGTTGGATTCCACCCTCCCCTATTTCCCCATATTTTCCTGATTTGTTTTCTCCTCTTCATGCAAATGATGAGTTCTTCATTCTTTGCCTCAAGTGAAGATATGATGGAAGAGAAAGCAGAAAAGATCTGTGAGATGTACTTGCCCCTCTTTCCAGGAGCTTAAGTTAAAGAAGGGATAGAGGATGTGATGTATATGCCTAAGAACATGAGGGTGACACATCTTGTCCAACAGTCCAAGATTTTGATTATCTGCCATATGCCAATGCTTCCTTTAATGGAGAATAAAAAATGGACATGATGAAATACATAGGGAAGGTTGGGTCAGCATGGCTCAGGCCATTCAATATCCACACACAGTGTGACCTCCACAGAGAGAATATAAATCCTGAGATGGTCTGCACACCTCTACATCATGATAGCATTTGATTGCATGCTGATTAGTACAGAGTAATCTGAGCTTCCAGTTCCCCAGAGAGAAAAGATAGTTATAATTGGAGGTCATTACACTTGGTTATGAGAGGAAACAAAGACACAAAGCAGGTCATCAGCAAGGAAAATACAGGTGACCTGGTCATGCTCTTGGATCTTGACAAGGTGTAAATGTCTTTTTGTTCTTTCTGTGATATAAGTGGGGTGGTAGAGTCACAATTCAAGCATGTTAAAACTTTTTGAGAGCCGGCCGAGTGGCGCGATGGTTGGGAACTGGCTTGGGATGCCAGAGGGCCCCGGTTCAGATCCCACATATGAGGGCCAGTGACACTGCCCTCCACAGCTAAGATGCTGAACAACAGCTCAACCTGGAGCTGGGCTGCCGTGAGTCGCCGGCGATGGCGTAGGCTGCAGCCCCTGTGGCAGTGGGTTGCCATGGGCTACCGTATGTAGTCAGCAGCCAGCGTGAGCGGCCAGCAGCCGCAGTGAGCAGCCGTCCAGAGGCCAGTGGCTGATCTGCCTCACCCGGGAAGAGCGCAATGATGGTGCCAACTTGGGCCAGTGAAGCAACGTCCTCCACAACTAGACTGAAGAACAAAACGACAGCAGCTTGTCTGTTCCCCTTCCCCCAATTCCCCAGCACTGTTCCCATCCCCCAATTCCCCAATAAAAATCTTTAAAAAAAACCATTTTGATGTTAGGGACTTCCTCAGCAATGAAAATCACCTCATCATCCCCAGTTGTTCTCTGAGTAGATTAAAAGTGACATTGTTAAAACTCTTTGACTGATTTCTTTCTCTTAGGGTTCTCAAATCTTTAAACCCTCACAAAATGGCCTATTAATTCATTTAGGCTAAGCAAAGAAAAGTGCCCTCCCCTGATTGACGGTCAAGAAATTCTCTGCAAGAAAACCAAGACGAAATGTTTTGTTAGAAGCCAATGGGAGATTGGGAAGCAAAAAGAAGAAAGGGTGAAAGAAGGGGAAAGGAGAGGGAGAGAGAAGGAGAGAGAGAAAGAAAGAGACACAGTGAGAAAGAGATAATGAGAGGTATTTCTAGGGATTTTTAGAGTTCAATGGACCAAGGTTTAACCCCTAATGGTGCTGAGCTGTTGAGCCACTGAGGAAGACATCTAAAAAAAAATATGGGGGCCGGTCGAGTGGCCTGTTGGTAAGAACTGGCTTGGTTCACCAGAGGACCCCGGTTCAGATCCCACATGTGAGGGCCAGTGACATTGACCTCTGCAGCTAAGATGGTGAACAGCAGCTCGATCTGAGGCTGGGCTGCCATGGGTTGCCGGCGACGGCATAGGCTACGGCCCCCTGCTGCAGTGGGCTTCCATAAGCTACCGTGTGTAGCAGCAGCCAGCGTGAGCAGCCAGTAGCTGCCGTGAGTGGCCGTCCAGAAGCCGGCAACCGATCTGCCTCGCCCGGGAAGAGAGCAATGATGGTGCCAGCTTGGGCCAGTGAAGCGATGTCTTCCACAACTAGACTGAAGGACAAAACAACAGCAACTTGTCTGTTTCCCCTTCCCCAATTCCTAGGTGCTGTTCCCCTTCCCCAATTCCCCAATAAAATCTTGAAGAAAAAAAATGGTATGTAATCTTCATAGACAGAAATGCCTAACAGGACATAGGCAGATTGTTCTAAAAATCAGTAGGAACCTAGAGGGGCAAACTAATAGAAAACAAAACAAAACAAAACAAAAATTTCATGAAATACTAAATGTGATAACAAATCAATATGTGAAAATGTGCTCAAACTTATATGTAATGAGGAAAATAACACGCAACTCTACAGTTAACCAGATCAGCAAAAGTTAAAGTCTTGTACTAAATTTTTATTAGGATTTGGAGAATTCATGTTAACTGTCACTAAGCACATAAATTGCATGTAAAGTTTGATATTACCTAGAAAGGCTAATGATGTATGTACCCTGTGACTGAGCAATTCCATTTCTATGTATGTCGCATAAGGGAAGTTTGTGTACTTGTACATGTCCACCAAGATATAAATACAAGAATATTTATGACAACATCATTCATAAAAGATAAAACCTAGAAACAATACCAATGTTCATCAACAACAAGTGGATAAATTGTGGTATCCTCTGACTATAGCACATGACAAAGTAGTGAAAATAAATAAATTATAAACACAAATGACAAACTAGATGTTTTATGCACTCTTCTGTGTGTTATGTTCACGTATAGTTAAAACAGAGAGAGACAAGGGGCACAATTTTTCCAAGTTTTGCTATGAAATGAATAAAAAAAAATTGGATAGTAGCCTTACTGAGATATAGAATATGTGGAATTCTGCTGTCGATTCTTCTTTCTATATCTTTTCAAAAAACAGAACATGTTGAACAATATTTGTGTGCCACTTGAAATGATCCTGTAATTTAGGGCAAAAGTCATGTAGGTAAAGGAAGAGAATAAATTCTGAAGGTGAGCTCCTGAGCAGATGACTAATGAAGTGGATGTTTGGATAGGGTTAGGGCACTCTTTATTACTGGACATATGAATGAGATGTTGTGGACAGATGGTGTTGAAGTTGTCAACTGAGCAATGAGAATTAAAAGTTTTCTTCATGGGGCGGATGGGTGGCTCAGTTGGTTAGAGCCCATGCTCTGAGCAACAGGGTTGCTGGCTGGATTCTCCTGTCGGCCAGTGAGCTGCACCCTCCGCAACTAGATTGAAGACAACCATTTGAGATGAGCAGCCGTTGAGCTGCCAATGGGCAGACTAATGTTTCAGTTGATTAGAGTGCATGCTCTTGACTACAAGGTTGCCGGTTCAGCTCCCACATGGGATGGGGGACTGCAGCCCCATCAATTAGATGGAAAAATGGTGACTGGACTTGGAGCGGAGCTGCACCCCCCACAACTAAGATTGAAGGACAACAACTTGACTTGGAGCTGATGGGTCATGGAGAAAACACATTGTTCCCCAATAAAGTTTTTTTAAAAAGTTTTCTTTGGTGGGAGGAGTTAGGCTCACCCTTAAGATGACCCTGAAGGATGTGAGATCAGCCTCTGTTATCACTGCTTCCTAGCAAATGGCCCCTGCCCCAGGATAATACTCACCATGATTCTGTCCTGCAAGGCGGTTCATTAGGTAGGATTTTCCTGTCCGATACAGCCCAGCAATGGCCACCACCACCACAGGCTGAGAGATCTTGTCAAGAATCTCCAGTGCTTTTGGATTTACTGTCAGCTGATTTTCCTGGTTTTCCACCAGACAGATGGGGCCCATCATCATAGATCCACATGCCATGCTATCTGTAATCCAGACGAACAACTCAGTAATATACAAGGTCTCAAAGTCATATCTAATGGTCACACATATCACGTGCAAGTCAGCTTTCTCTGTGTAGAACTTATAAATAGGTTTCCTATGTTTTATCTGTTTCTAAAATATAAGTATTTGGCCAAATGGGTGAAGGTCTCATACAGATACCTTATGTACATGATTGTGTTGATCCTTAAATGAACCTAAAACAACCCTGCCATGTGATGCATACAATGAACAGAATGAGGAAATGAAGAACTGATGATGGAGCCTACATAACACAAATATATTCGAGGGAAGTACAGGCAGAATGGGACATGCAGGAAATGAGGAGTGACCAGAGAAGATGTCTGGAGTTCTAGCTTGATTTGGTCTCTCATTAATTGCACAAATATTTCCTGAGTTCCTACCATGTGCTGGGCGCTGTTCTAGGTGACCAACATCAAGGCCTCTCTGAGAAGAGAAATAAATGTGATCTGTGACCTTGATGAGGAAGGTTTAAATAATTGTAGGAGCAGGAATGGACTGGAGGAGGAGAGACTTTGGGAGGAAGAAGAAGAGATAAACAATGCCATTTGCTCTCAAAACACAACAGGATGGACCTTTATAACCTAGATCAAGTTATGGCTGCAGGAATCCATTTATTTAACTGGAATGAAAGAAAATTTCTTATTTATATGCTGAAAGGGAAGAGAGCCATTAGCCAGTGTTTTAGGATCTGCCCAGATCTGCTTAAGTCCCACAGCAAGGAGGGGTTCTACTTTAATGTTTTCATCACCGTGATTGGGTGTTTCATAAAATCAAGAGACCCAGAACAGTTGAAGAGCATTGACTGTCCCTTTACATTCTCAAAGATGATGCTAGCAACATTCACGTTCCCATGCTTTCCTAGCTGTGTGACCAGTGGAAAGATGGTTAAATTCTCTGTGCTTCAGATTTGTCTTCTGTAAAGTGGTGACACTTATAGTACCAATCTATTGGTCATTAGAAGGATTAAATATCTCATAATATTTATAATGCTCTTAAAATCATGCTGGTATATACTGAGTCCTATGTAAGTATTGATTAAAAATTGAGTGTCTAAGAAGGTTGGAAGGGTAATTTCTAAATGAAGGTGAAGGATTGGGTTTTCAGTGAAATAGTGACACTTCCCTCCCTAGTCCCAAGCAAGTGGGAGGACACATCCCATGAGGAGGATGAGCAGGCAGGACAGCACCAGCAGTGACAGCTGAGAGGCAGGACACCGATGGAGGACAAGTCTCCTGGGAGGAACCCAGAGCAGCCCTAGGATGTCAGAGCACAGATTTTGGAGTGAGGCTGCCACGGTTCAAACCCCAGAGTTCAGATCACTTACTGTCAGTGAGATTTGGAAAAAGGAACTACCTCTGTGAGTTTCTATTTTCTTTCAGTATTATAGTAAAACAAGAACTCCTTCCTGATCCATTACTATACAGGCTGGTAACACATAGACTCTCAATAATTCAAAAAAATTTTCAGGGTTAATGTATTCTTTCAACAATGAGCAAGTTAGGTAATGTGTTGAAAGGGTCAATACATTCAGTAAGCTGCAATTGTCAAGAAATAATAAGGCATGTAAAATCTTTTTCTCAGGAAATAACATGAATTTGTTTAACAGGCTTCCTCTATACCATTTATCTTCTTTTCTAAGGTGATTGGGAGCAGAGTGGCGAGTAAAACATGAACCTTTTACTACTGTGTTCTGAGCAGAAGTTGTAGAGTTTATTTCTTAGATTTAATTTTTAAAAAGATTTAGGAGAGTTTACTTTTTTTTTTAATGCAGGTATACTTAGATACCCAAACCCAGAAGGTATTAATTCCAAATAAACAAGTGGAATGAAGTAGTTCTATTAGATGGAGTTAGATGATTGTTAGGTCTCTGAATGTTAGATTTCAGAGACATTGACTTAATATTAGGTCTCTGAATATTAGAGACCTTGACTTATAGATAGAGCCATGTCTGTAAGAACACAATAAGATGCCTGTTGGCCTGTACCTGTAGATAGAGCCAAACTTGGGATAACAGAAAATGCCACAAAACAGCTACTGGATTGCTGACAGTAAGCATTTTCTATTCAAACAATACTACCCTGTCATCACTGCCCTTATATAACTCACCTCACCCCCTCTCGGGGCTGTGTCTCCTTTAGACTCAGCCGGGGCTGTAGCCATCTTTGCACAACCCAATAGACTTTCTCTTAATAAAATAGACTTTCTTCAACTTTCTTAATTTGCCTGACCATGAGCGTCCCTTTTCCAACTGACCTACCACTTGGTGCAGAAACCGGGAGGGTTTAGGCCAGAGAAGCAGGATCACCCCTCCCTCCCCCTGTCTTTCTCTTTTCCCTCCCCCTGGCTTGACCCACTCTTTGGCTACCCTGCAGGCCTGCCTTAAGAACATGCTTTGGACTTTGTCCCTTCCGTAGCTGACATCCCAGACAACATCAGGCCAGACTCTCGCCAGGTGAGTGAGACCTCCCATTCTAGCCTCGGACCTTCTGACTCTCACTGTTGTGCAGTTCTACACAAGTCCTAGCTCTAGGCTGGAAGGTTCCTCTCAGCCCCGGGGCCCAGATCCTCCCAGTCTTGGGGATGCTCAGTCTGCTAGTGATCTCTCATACTCGTAATCATGGGGGATGAACACGGGGATTTGGGATGCCTCATCCCCTCTTTTCCTCCTAATAGGAGGCTCTCTCCTCATCCTTCTCACTCTATTCGAACCATGTGTGCCAGGAGCCGTCTGTGCCTGAGTATCTGACATGGCCAAACACACTGCAATTGTGACAAATTCTGAAGCTCTGACTGAGAAACAGATACTGCTTTATATCTTAAAGAATTTAAATTCCCCTTTGGATGTCCCCCAGTAGGATGAAGATCATACACCCCTTCTAATAGATATATCACAATAATTATATTTTATACACTAAAGGTGATTTTGGTCACACTATTAGTCTCTTAGTAAAGGTCAAAGTACACACCCTGTAAATCTTAAGATCCTGTTTAGACAATAGTTTTTAGAATAAATGTTGAGTGGTCATGGTAACCATCCTTTAGGCGATTATGTAAAGGCTCAGGCTTTGGTCGCAGTCATTGAGGGTGGAGGGATTTGGGCATAGTTGGGATAAGTTAGTTTTTAGCATAGAAAAGATATAGCTGTACCCTGGAGCATAAGAATTATGAGGAATTAAAACCCTGATACTAATGGAACAATGGTTAAACTGCCTGGTATAAAAAGGGGCATGCTGTAAAATAAAGTGAGACACTTCTTCTTGAGAAAGCGCTCCTGTGTCTCCGCGCATTTTTTCCTCGCCGACTCCGCCTCCACCTGAGGGAACCCCTGGACCTGCGGGGTCTCCCGCACATGTGAACTTCATATTTGGTCCCTGCCAAATCGACCCCTCTCAGTTATTTCCTCCACAACTTACACACCCTCGGGCTCAACTTACAAGAGATCTGACCCACACACCTTATCTTTTGCTATAATACTGCCTGACCCCAATACAAATTAAACAATGAGTCTCAATGGCCCCAAATTAGGCCTTTAATTTCAAACTCAGAGTTTTAGATAACTTATGTCATCGTAATGGAAAGTGGTCAGAAATTCCCTATTTCCAGGCCTTTTTCACTCTTCGAGCTTGACTCTCCCTCTGCCAAACCTACAACACTTTCACAGTCTCCTAGCCCACTCTAAGCCTTCTCCTCCTCCAGATGAAATTCCCTCTCTTGACCAGCTGAAGATCGGGTCCCTTTTCTTCTGGCCAACCTCTACTATCCCCTCAGCCTAAACCTTCTCTCCCGAACCCCAGCTCCTCAGTTCAGGGGAATTTGGTTCTGCAAGTACTTTGGTTTATACAACTTATTTGTTTCAGTTGTCTCTAGTCTGTCTTTTCTCCTTTTTTTCCCTTTTTCTATTTGTGTCTTAGACACCAAGCTGATCTGGAGCTCTGTATCTATACCTTCTGTGAGCCCCCTAAGTCGTGTATTTAAAATTGTTTGGTACACCAACTCTATACTCAGGAACTTGACAAAAGTAAATCTTAAAAGATTTCTCTAACTCAGTAACTTTCAAGGTCTTGCAGATAACCTCAAATGTAAACAAAGGGCTGCTGCAGCCTCCACTTGAGGCTGAGGTAACTGAAGAGACAAAAGGCACTTTTAAACCCACTTCCTATTATAGCCTCCTGAAGTTGTAAGAACAGCTATAAAATCTTAGCTCCTCTCTACAATTGTTGGTTCTATTGTAGGGACCCAGGCCCAGACCCTAGGCTAAGCCAGCTCATTTCGGAGAGTACCCCCACCCAGAGGAATTTAAAAAGCTCCTGCTTCAGCAAAAACCATAACAAATTGTCTTGTCAAGAAAGTAGAAGATAAACAAAGTATATGGCTTGTTAGGAAAAGATAAACAAGTCATGTTTTATAGCCCGTCAAGAAGATAAGCAAGTTATGTATTAGCTCGTTAAAAATAATAACCTAACTGTGTTTTATAGTTTGTTAAAATAAGATAAACTAACCATTTTTCCTTTTTACACACTAACTGCTTTTTTTTTTTGCTTCTGTATCCAGCTTCAGCTATAAATTCCTTACCCACCAAGACTTAGGGGCTGATCTCTTCTCTTGAGAGAGACAGTCCCAGGCCTGGTCAATAAAGTCTCTGGAATGAAAACCTTTTGTCTAAGCTTTGTTAAGGAGCCGTGAACTCAACACTATTTATACATGTAGTCTCTAAGGTCTGTACTTGTCTATGTTTTATATATATTATAATGTTTTTGCCTCCGGATGGTATTACCAGTTTATAACATTTAATTGGTTTAAAAATAAGACATTAAGCACTTATATTAATTAAGATAATAAAAACTAACTCAAATACTTCTCAGGATCACATGATCTAAGGAAATGTTTGATACTAAGTCTGGCTTAACTTTTAGTTAAATAAACATGTCTTTTAAAGCTGTTAACATTAAATATGGTATCTTTTGTTTTTTACTTGAGTCTACAAAAATAAATGCAGGTTATCTCTATTACAGAATTTGTCAAAAAAGTAGCTCAGGTAATAATTAACTTTGAAATCTGAGAGTTGAAAACTAAGCTTTTTAGCCACTCGTTTCTAGTACTCCCCAGGTTTCCCACTCCAATAATAGGGCAAGACATTCTCTCCAAATTCAGTCTCCTTTCCATTTTTTTTGCCTGATGCTAAACCCATCCTTCTCATGCTCTCCCTGTCCAACACCCTGATACAGGCCCCCTTACCTCTACTCTTGTCGATCCTGTTGTTTGGGACCCAGAGTTGCTTGGATGTGGTTTCTCAACACCTATTAGTAACTTAAGATCTTGGTTTTACTAAGTTATGTTAAATGATAAAAGTTATTAACTATCTAGGCATTTCAAACTAATGAAATACTGAAATATCAATTATTGGATAGGTCTGAGTTTATCTTTTTCTGGCTTTTAGTCACAGGAGCGTTAAAAGATACATTAAGATCTGTTAATAAATGTATCATGCATTACATTACAAAAGCCTATGCTTTTGAAGGTTACAAAATATATTCCTTGATTTACCAGGTGAAGTGCTAATTACTTGCTTTTGATTTTTAGTAAGAATTAAGGTTGTAAAAGTAGATTCTAATTCATATAAAATAATGACATGTGTTTTAATTTAAATATCAAAGATAAGCTAGCATAAAATTTGAATTGAGTTTTCTCTCTCTGCTAACTAAGTTTGTTAGACTACTGGTCTACTACCAATATTATCAAAATGTTTTCTCCTAAGAAACAAAAATTATATATATTGTCACAATAATTTCTGTGTTTTATATTATCTTAATCAGGTCCTTGGTTACCGAAAAAAAAAACACCTAAATCTAACAACTAAGTTTTGCTAATAGTTATATAAACTTCTGTATTCTAGGACTACTGGTGTTCATGTGCCCTTCTGATGTCAGATATAAGCCAGAATAAAGAATAATTTAACTGTTTTTACCAAAAAACCTAGATAAGTTTGGGTAAATTCATTAAGCTTGGCCTAATATTTCCCTCACCTGACAGGAAATTATAGCAATTCTGACCCATTTTCACATCTTAATAGAAAGACACAGAACCTAGAGAAGGCCAAGAAATTTATTTAGATATCTTTAACAACCAAGGCCAGGAAAACAAGCAAAAAAGGAACAGTGAGACTAAAGACAAGGCCAGAGACAAGCCAGACTTTTGGCTGCAGTTATAGAAACCCAGGACTGAAGTCACCTCAGGGCACCCCAGAAACCCCAGAAGAGGAAACTCCAAATAAAAAAAGCCTACCTTGGATATGGAAGCCCAGACCACTAGAGTAAGGTGTGTCCTAATCTTCCAATGCAGCTGTGCCCCCTGTGCAAACTAAAGGGCACTGGAAGAGCGATTGCACCCAGCTCTGAAGGGAGCAGGAACCACTCCCTCACCATGAATGGCTGTGATCACTGTTGGGCCTGAAGTTCCCAAAAGCTCCCAAGCTGTTCTCATCACAGGGGTGGAACTGTGGGTGACCCTTGACGTGGCAGGTCAGCCTGTTAATTTCCTGATTAATATAGATGCCATTTATTCTTTCTTGACTGTTCACTTGGGACCTATTTATTTCCTCTAAAACCTACTCGGTTGTAAAGATTAAAAGCCCCTAGATTTGGGCTCATTTTACTCAGCCTATTCCTTACCATTGGTCTATACCTTAGGAAAAATATAAAATAAACAAATCAGACTTAAAAAGGACTCTAGAAAAAGTTTTGTCAGAAGGCCTCTAAGCCATAGTTCTAAATGCTGCCATTGCTTTGGATTCTGACCTCAGCTTCAATTATGTTTATTTTCTATGTTATTAACTTGGGAAAGAGTCCAGCAGGCACTCAAAATATAAGGACTGGCACCTTCCCCAGGCTGACTTCTCTACACATTACTGTTAACAGCCTAGAAGGGAAGGGGTCTCTAGCAGCCCAGTTAACTCCTAAACGGAAGGGACCTTTTCCAGTTCTCCAAACACCCCAACTACTATCAGGCCAGAGAGTCAGCAGCTGGGTTCCCTTCCCAACAAATCAAACCTGTTTTATTAAAGTCTCCATAGGACTCCCCCAGAAAAAAGACTATTGCTTCTGTTCCTGTGAGCCAACTGAAGACCTTAGCCTTGTTTGGCAGGTCCTTAGGGAACATGCAGACCCCATCCTTCCTTAACCCCAAGACACTTCCTCTCTCTCCCTTCCCCTAGCCCCAGGAGACTGGGTCCTTCTCAAAGACCGCAATCCCTCAGATTTATGACCACAGTGGAAAAGGCCTTTCTGGGTCCTTTTCACCGCCTCCACTTCAGCCAACTGCTGGGTCACCTCTCTTGGTTTCACCTCTCTAGGTTGAAAACAACAATGGCTGAACCACCTGTCCTGCCACTCCACGGGACCGTCCAGTCTCCACCCGGCTTCGACTTCACAAGATCCCTGAGGGAAAACCGGGAGACTCGTGAATGGTTCCTTCTTCCAACAACCCCTCCACTTCTCCTCCTGTCCCAGCTTCAGCGCCACTGGGACAACTAACATCAACACCCTATACTGTCAGGGGAGGCCTCAGACCCCTATTAGACTTCACCCCTTGTTCCCCCATACCGGCAAACAGGGATCCACCTGTCTTAAGCTACCTATTCCTTCTGACCCTGCTAACTTATACCTAGATACACTCAAATTCCATCTCTTTAGACATCAAAACTCTACACCCGACATTTCCACACAGCCCCTCACAGGGGCCACAGTGTCAGGCATGTTCGGTATTTGGAACAAGGAAGGCACCCCTCCCCCGAAATACGCAGCAACCCTAGCTCCTTTCTTTTCCCTCGACATCTTCACCTGCCTTGGTCCCTCTGGCCTCTTCTTCCTCTGTGGAACCTCCACATATGCCTGCCTCCCCACCAACTGGACAGGCATGTGCACCCTAGTGCAGATATTCTCCAGATATTCAGATTGCCCCCAATAATGAATCTCTACCTGTCCCCATATATATACTACTCTCATGTGCCGAAAAAGGGCCGTCTCCCTTATTCCACTCCCGGTGTCACTGGGCATCTCTGTGGAGGTAGCGATAGGAAGAACAGGGCTAGGGGTCTCCTTACACCACTTTCAGGCCCTATCACAGGACCTTGCCCAGGCCCAGAAAAACAGAGACTTCCACAAGAACCAGTGGAGTTCCTGGTTCATGGGTAGCTGGGCCCTTGATTTCTCCCTCTCTTAGGGCCTCTAATCATTATCTTTTTGGTCCTAGCCTTTGGTTCCTGCCTTCTCCACCTTTTCACCCAATTCCTGCAGAGCTGACTCCAGTAGTTCACAAATGGAACTGTACATGAAATGCATCTCCTACAACAACTTTACCAGCCCCTTCCAGACTGTCTCCCTCCTCTCGGCACCACTACTCAGCCTGAAGCAGCTATGAGATGCGACAGCCCCTCTCCTTTTTAATAACAAACAAGGCTGGAATATTAGGTCTCTAAATGTTAGGTCTCAGAGACCTTGACTTAATGTTAGCTCTCTGAATGTTAGAAACCTTGACTTATAGATAGAGTCATATCTGCAAGAAAACAACAAAATTTCTGTTGGCCTGCACCTGCAGACAGCCAAACTTGGGATAACAGAAAACACCACAAAACACCTACTAGCTTGCATGCAGTCAGCATTTTCTGTTCAAACAATGTTACCCTGTCAGCACCGCCCCTATATAACCCTCCTCACCCCTTCCCTCTGGGCTGTAAGTCTCCTTTACACTCAGCCCGGGCTGTAGCCATCTTTGCTCAGCCCAATAGACTTTCTCTTCATAAAATAGACTTTCTTAAACTTTCTTATCTTGCCTGACCATGCGCGTTCCTTTACCGGCCGACCTTTCAATGATCAACTATTTCCAAAGTTTACTGCTCAGGAGAGGCATCTAAAGTGTGATACTCCTCAGCAAGTATCACAGGTTATTCTGATGCAGGTCTTGTATGGGCCACACATTAAAACAGTGTGTGGTAAACACGATTAGACCTTACATTTACTTTTAACATTTGATTAATAAGAGTAAGTTGGAATTACTCTGTATAACACAGCTTTGTAATATCTTGGAATGTTAAATGTTAATACAAGAATAATCCAGAGTCAATCTTTTAGGATATAAATTGTCTGGAAATAAGGACCACCTTTCCTTTTTGTTTTCTCAAGCTTGGGGAGGTGAGTGGTGCGGGAGGGGAAGCACAATCAGGAAATGTCTGCGGCTGGGAGGAGGGACATGGAGGAGGAAGGGAACCCACCCTGCGAGGGCTCAGGATTTGTTCCCAGAAAGGACTTCAGCCCCTTTCTGCAGGTAAGGTGGTATGCCTTCCTCTTTCTCCCGCGCAGGGCTCTCTGTGCGGTCCTGGGTGGGTGCCCATAGAGGAGCAGCCCTGGCACAGTGCTGGTGTTGTCTGTCTCCTGCCTGGCAGCTGCCTCTGATCTAAAGGGAAACACTGAGCTGGCTTGAGCAAACCGCTCTGCAGTCCACCCACCATTGGGCCCAGGCCTTCTGCCTTTCTGCTGCCAGTGTGGAGCCTGCACTTGGGCGCTTGTTGTTGTTGTGAGTTAATGGATATGTGCATGGAAGACCAAGTTTAAAGGTGAACTTACGTGGTGTGGGAGCTGCACCCTCGGCAGAAGTTCTCAGCTGTGCTTGGTTGTCCCTCAGCTCCTCCTGCGTCTGGCTCCTCCAGGTACAGGCTGTTCTCTCTGCAAGCTGAGAATTGAGCCAGATATCAGAGCAAAGCAGTTTTGGGTGAGGATGTGCAAAACCTAATCTAATGACAGGCCCTCTCCTGTGAAGTTAACTTTGAGTTTTCGTGCCCCACCCTACCCAACCCCCAAGGAATGAACTGGGCACTAGCAGGAGGAGTGTCAGTTCCTTCACACCAGGCTTCGGAATCCCAGGCTGGGGCCCCTTCTTCAGTTGTTGCTTAGGTTCCCTGACCCCACAATGAAGACAGAGCAGCAGGTGAATGTGTGAGCCAGAAACGCAGGTTGACAGAGCTCAGCAGCCTGTCTCTCAGGGGGACTTTTGAGAGGAAAGAGGTTTTGTTCAATTTTTTTCTTTTTCCATTTTCAAAAAGCATTTTGCTTTCCACAGTGATTTTTTTTATTCAATATAAATACAGGTGTGTGTGTGTGTGTGTGTGTGTGTGTGTGTGTGTGTGTGTGTGTGTGTAAAATGCCTAATTTTATAGCTCAGACATATTCACAATTATTTTGTTGCACATACTTACACAATACTAGGGTGTCCAGATTGGTAGGGAGGGGGAATACTAAATATAATTTGAGGGTCTCCTGCAAATCAAATAATAGAAAAATATGAAGTAAAAGATGAATATTTAAAATGAGCAAATGACATAACCAATATTTTTTAAAAGTGACAAATACTACAAACATCTTCTATCATTTTGTGTGTGTGTGTGTGTGTGCGCGCGCGTGTGTGTGTGTGTGTGTGTATTTTTTCCCCACAGAGAACAAAAGAAACTTGAAAAAAACAGTACATTTTCATTGTTAGTGTGTTGAAATTAAAATGTGATGCCTAGAACTTTAACTTTCATTTTGGGAACAAAAGAAGAACTGGCCTCAAAAAATAAAAATTAGGTAGTCAGTGAATAAAGTAAAAAGAAAGCTGGATCATTAATGAGGCTCTTTGAACTGCACATTTAACCACTACCTTTAATGACCTATCTTCAGGTTTCTCAGAAGACTGTCTTCTAACAAATAGCTTCTAAAATGTCCTATTATAGGCCATTTTTAATTGTCTTCTAATTTCATAGCCTAAATTATTATATTTTATTTCTGCTTATATTGTTTTTATAACTTACAAAATTCTTTCAAGACAGTGACTAAATACATTTTAAAATTCTTATGAAATTTTAAAGGATGGTGGCCTCGGCATGACAAGAAAAAAAAAGCTACTGCTTCAAGAGAATAATAGGACAAGCCACAGACTAAGAAAAATGTCAGCAAAAGATGTACCTGATAAAGGACTATTATCCAAAATATACCAAGAACTCTTAAAACTTAACAATAAGATAACAAGTAACCCAATCCAAAACAGAGCCTAAGACCCAGACAATTCACCAAAGCAGAAGATACAGACAGCAAATAAGCATGAGAAAAGATGTTCAACATATGTCATTAGGAAATCGCAAATTAAAACATCAATGAGATACCACTACAAATCTATTAGAATGGACAAAATCCACATTGATGACACCAAACAACGGCAAGGATAGAGCAACAGGAACTTTCATCTGTTGTTGGTGGGAATGCTAATTCAGCATCACACTCCTTAGTATTTACCTAAAGTATGTGTAGAAAACTTGTCTTAGGAGCATTTGTTTGCTGCACTGGTAAAATTTTTACTTGTGCAATAGACACAATGCAGTTGGCTGAGAAGAATAAAAATGACTTTACACACAAACATACTTGCTTTTCATAAAATTAGTAGAGGTTTTTATACTATAAACTCAAGAATTAGGATAAGTTCTAGTCTATGATTATTTAAAAAGAAATAATGTGTGGTGAATTTACATTTGTCTATGCTGCATTATTGAATATATTTCTGACAGGAAACTTCCATTTTTTTTAGCTGAGCCATCCTGCCACCTGTTGGCTGCTCAGTGGCAGCTCAGCTCAGGCCGTGAATCGAACCAGCGACCCTATTATTCAGAGTTCGCACTCTTGAGCGAGCTCTTAACTAACTGAGCCACTCGGCTGGCTCTGGAAACTTCCATTTTTAACGAAGCATTGATAGGAATGAAGTTTTTTATTTAAAAGTTTATAAAACCAATAATTGGAAATTTTTGCACAGGCTAGTTTTGGTTCATTATATTTCAAACATTGTTTTGCATGTACTACTCACATACCACTCATTTTAGAACCTTAAGATGTGGCCTTATATGTGACCTCTGGCCATGCACCTTCACATAGTGATGCACAATCAGCAGTAGAAAAATTCCTGCAAGCCGTTACAACACCAGGGCAGCTAGAAAATAATTAACTATTTAAGAAAGGAATTGTAAACCAAAAAATATATATTGCCCTAAACCAAAACTAAATGTATGTTAACCTCAATTGTTCTTAACAAAAATATTAAAAAATTGGATAACCAATCCAGTGTCAGATGTCAGAAGGTAAAATGGTACAGAGAAGAGCTGAAGTGGAAAGAGGTGTCAATATATATGATTGCAGGTTACATAACCTTTAGAAAAAAATAACAGGTTTATTGGGATATTATTTACATACTCTACAATTCACAAACTCAGAAGGCAGAATTCAATGCTTATATTATAGACATAATGTTGTGCAACAATTGCTACAATTAATGATAGAAATTTAAATCACCCCAAGCATGAAAAGAGAAGAGAGAAAGTAAGGCATGGAGAAATATTTGAAGAAATAATGACTGAAAATTTTCCTAACCTGGTGAAGGAAATAGTCATACAAACTCAGGAGGTACAGACAGTCCCAAATGCAATGAACTTAAAAAAACCAACACCAAGACACATTATAATTAAAATGGCAAAGGTTAGGGCCGGCTGAGTGGCTCAGTTGGTTAAGAGCTCGCTCAAGAGTGTGAGCTCTGAGCAACAGCGGTTCGAGTCCCGGCCTGAGCTGAGCAGCCGCTGAGCTGCCAACAGGTGGCAGGATTGCTCAGCTAGAAAAAAAAAAAGAAAGAAAAATGGCAAAAGTTAAAGATAAAGAGAATCCTAAAAGCAACAAGAGAAAGGCAACTAGCTAATTGCAAGGGAGCTCCTATAAGATTGTCAGCTGATTTCTCAACAGAAACTGTAGACAAGAGGGATTGGTTTGAAACATTCAAAATGATGAAAAGTTAGGTCCTACAACCAAAACTACTGTACTGAGCAAGGCTCAGTACATTTAAAATTGAAGGAGAGATAAAAATTTTCTCAGAGAAGGAAAAGCTAAAGGAATTCATCCCCACCAAAAGTGTATTACAAGAAATGTTAAGGTGGCCAGATGGCTCAGTGGTTAGAGCATACGCTCTTAACAACAAGGTTACCAGTTCGACTCTCACATGGGATGGTGGGCTGTGCCCCTCTCCCTCCACAATTAAGATTGAATATGACACGTTGAGCTGAGCTGCCATTAGCTGCTACACAGGCAGCTGGATGGCAACTGGATTTGGAGCTGAGCTAGCTGTGACCTCTACAACTAAGACTTCCCCTCCCCCAATTCCCCAATAAAATCTTAAAAAAAAAAAAGAAATGTTAAAGGGACTTCTTTAAGGAGAAGAAGGCAGGAAATTAAAAAAATATATACAGTAAAACCTTGGATTGTGAGTAATTTGGTTTGCGAGTGTTCTGCAAGGTGAGCAAACATTTCTAATACATTTTAATGTGGTAAATGAGTGATGTCTTGCAATATGAGTAGTTTGTTTCTGGAACGAATTATGCTTGCACACCGAGGTATTACTCTATATGCATAATAAAATGGCAATAACTATGTATCAGTAATCACTTTACATGTCAATGGGTTAAATGCTACAATCAAAAGAAATAGGGTAGCTGAATGGATAAGAAAATGAGACCCATACATATCCTGTTTACAAGAGACCCACCTCAGATCAAAAGACACACACAGGCCAAAAGTAAAGGATGGATAAAGATTCCATGCAAATGGAAATGAGTAAAGAGCTGAAGTAGCAATACTTATATCTGGCAAAATAGATTTTAAAATGAAGACTATAATAAAAGACAAAGAAAGACATTACGTAATAATATAGGAATCAATCCAACAAGAGGACATCACCCTAGCAAACATCTATGCACCTAACATAGGAGCATCTACATACATAAAGCAAATATTGACTGACATAAAGGCAGACATCATCAGTAACACAATCATAGTAGGGGACTTTAACACCCACTGACACCAATGGACAGATCTTCTAGACAGATAAACAATATGGAAACAGTGACCTTAAATGACACATAGACCAGATAGATTTAATTGATATTTTTAAAGCATTTCACCCCAAAGCAACAAAATATACATGGAACATTTTCCAAGATAGAACACATGCTAAGCCAGAAAACAAGTCTCAATAAATTTAAGAAGATTGAAATCATATCAAGCATTTTCTCTGACCACAGGGGTATGAAACTAGAAATCAATTACCAGAAAAAAACTGAAAAACACACAAACACATGGAGACTAAAAACATGCTACTAAATGATGAATGGGTCAAAAATGAGATCAAAAGATGTGTTAAAATCAAAAGATGTGTTAAAACAAATGCAAATGAAAACACAATGACCTCAAATCTATGGGACACAGCAAAAGCAGTCCTAAGAGGGAAATTCATAGCAATGCAGGCCTACCTAAAGAAACAAGAAAAATCTCAAATCAATAGTCTATCTTTACACCTAAGGTAACTGGAAAAAGAACAGCAAACTAAGCCCAAAGTGAATACAAGGAAGGAAATAGTAAAGATCAGAGTGGAAATAAACGAAATAGAGACTGAAAAAAACAATACAAAAGATCAATGAAACCAAGAGCTGCTTTTTGAAATAATAAACAAAACTGACGAATCTTTAACGAGACTCATCAAAAAAAAGAGAGAGGACACCAAATAAATAAAATCAGAAGTGAAAGGGGAGAAGTGACAACCAACATCACAGAGATACAAAAATGTACGAAAATGCTTCGAGCAACTATATACCAACAAATTGTACAATCTTGAAAAAAATGGATAAATTCCTAGAAGTATACAATCTT